GACACGACGAGGACTGGATATATTGTTGCCCCCCCCGACATCCAGAACTCCCGGCCGGGCGCCACGTCGGCCCCGCTCATCTGGATGCGCAAAGAAGCGGCAAAAACACGATTTGTCTCGCAACTCCGCGGGGAGATCTTGGATCGGTGCTGGACCCCTCGGGGATCTGCTGACCCGGGTCGGTCCGAGCCTGGGTCAGTCAGGCCTTGCAGGATCCTGCAAGATCCTGCAGGATCCTGCGCCCAAGTCCAGGTCGATGCGACCCTGGCTCTGCAAGATCCTGCAAGATCCGGCGCCCTGACTGACCCCGGTTTGCATTGACCCCCGTCTCCTGAGCCCCGAACCACCCTCCCTGGCGCGGCGCTGGAGGCGCCGCCAAGGGTCCTCGAGGGCGAAAGCCATATCCGTATCCGCGGCCTTGCGGGCTGGGCCCCTGGGTCGCTACCCCGCGGATGTGGGGCGTTTTTTCGGGGATGACCCGCGCCGAACGTATCCGTGCGACCGCGTATCCGCGGAATCCAGACCGCGAGGGCGTGGATATGGATACGTTCGCCGGTCGTGAGGTGCAGCGCCGATCAGAGAAATCCGCGCGAAGCTCCGAGACAGTGCTTGGATGATCGTGGGAATTCCTAAGGAGATAAGGGATTTGAAAGTGGATGCTAGGGTTGGTTATTTAAGGCCTAACCTAGCTTCTAAGTAGGCTAAAGGTGTGCTAAGAAATTTAGGGAGATGTGATAACTCCGCGAAGTGGGCTCCACCCACTTAGACCAGATCTGTGCCCCCTGAAACACTTAGGGCACTTGTAGAGGATTTAGCTGGGTTAACCAAGCAAAATCCCACCTTGACATCCACTTCCTTGAGGCCTCCTAGATGGGGTCTAAATAGATGGAGTCGGAGGATCGCGCCGCATCGGTAATGCATCGCCGATGCATCGCCGGTAAATCGACGATGCATTGTCGATGCATCGGCGACGTTTGCGATCATCGGTGCCGTCGGCGTGGAGAATGCAGGCTCCACATCAAGCCTCATCGGAGATGCACCAACATTACGGTGCGATTCTTCGACCCCATCTGCTCGGACCCCATCTGGGAGGCCTAGTAGGGAAATCAAAAGGTACCGATACCGCTACTCTCCAGACCTCTCCTGAGGTGCGTTCTGACCAGAAGCTCGAGGCGAATCCAGCAGTGGGGACGAGGGCCTCCCATGAAGCCCAAAAGGGTAAAAACTAGGCAAGGATAGTGGTATAGCGGTACATCAACCTCCCTATCCCCATTGACGGCCCCAGCGGTGACCTCCGTATTCGAGGGCGACGACGAGGGCGAACAGCCCAGGGGAGATCCACACATGTATCGCAAGGCTGAACCTAAACGTTGTTTTTCGTTTACGCTTTGTTTTCGTTGTTCCTCGCTTTTGTCTCGAATCCGCCCTTACCGCAAAACGAAGTCGAAACGAAAACGGCCCACGAAATCGCCAAAAACACTGTTCAGGTCCAGCCCTGATGTATCGAGGGGCGGCGATGGCCTATGCCTTCGTCCAGGCTCCCAAGCGAATGCGTGTATTACTCCCCCTGGGCTATTCGCCCCTATCGTCGCCTCCGAGGTGTGCTTATGCCGCTCCGGCACGCCACCCGGCGGGACCCGCCCGGTGACCCGCCCCGCTGCCGCAGGCGGCCCGCGCAGACGCTCGCCGCCACTCCTGGCCCCCGCCCGAGCCGAAACGGCTGACGGCGCCTCTTCCAGGGATCGGCAGTGGACCAACATCCCTTTAGTAAACCTCCCCTTAGTGAAAACGGCCTGGGACCGAAACCGACGGACCTGGACCTGCAAAAATGACGGCCGCGACGCCCTCTCGCGAACCGAAAATGGCAAATTCCTTAATCGACGTGTCAGGGTAGGAGGTCTGTCCACCCCCGAAGGGAGCCATGCCACAAAAGGCGTACGCGCCCAGCTTTAGACTGGGAATGCCCTCCTACAGCTCCTACGAGCGGATTTGGGCGAATTAAATATAACATCCGCCGATCCTGCGTGTGAATTTCTGAGAGCGTGGACTTGAGCTCGCCCAAGCTTCGCTCTGCAAGGGGGGGGCGCCATTCCGTGCTCGGGTGCGGGGGGGGGTTCGCTCTGCAAGGGGGGGGGACGCCATTCCCGACGCCATTCAGTGCTCGGGAGCCGGGGGGGGGGGTCGCTTTGTAAGAGGGGGGCGGACGCCATTCCCGACGCCATTCAGTGCACGGGAGCGGGGCGTGCAATCTCGCCCTGCAAGGGGGCGGGGGGGATGGGACGCCATTCCCGACGCCATTCAGTGCTCGGGAACGGGGGGTGTTTCGCTCTGCAAGGTGGGAGGGGGTAAGGGGGAGTGGACGCCGTTTCCGACGCCATTCAGTGCTCGGGAACGGGGGGGGTTCGCTCTGCAGGGGGCGGGGGGGGGGACGCCATTCCCGACGCCATTCAGTGCTCGGCAACGGGAATGGGGTTTGCTCTGCAGGGGGAGAGGGGGTCAGCCATTCTCACCGCCACTCAGTGCTCAGGAGCAGGATGAGGGATGAGGGGTTGCTCTGCAGAGGGAAGGGAAAGGGGGGGACGCCATTCCCAGCGCCATGCAGCAAGAGCGCCCCCCAAAGATGGTGTGCTACAGCTATTTCAGCATGTCATGGTTTTAATGGTGACTCACGCGAGAGCGTCATTTTCGAAGATCCAAGAAAATTTCGCAACCGATTTCCACACGTTCATCTTATGATAAAGTCCCGGACGAGGGCTGTACCTTCAACATGCACGGTCATGGTCATCCATTCCCATCAGCAGCGGTAGCGTCCCAGATCGGCGGCACTGGCCGGAGGCCACTACAGTACTCAACACATATCCAAACACAGTCCAAACATTCGACCATTTTTTGACTATTTTTAAATAGTCCCCCTGTAGAGGGACACGCCCGACTTAGGCGTGCGCGCCCAACCACGTGCACGAATGCGGCCCCCCGAATCCGCGAGGCCAACCCCGTGTCACGGAACCCTCGCGCAGTGCGCACGACGAACTAATTACCCACACCAGCGTGGATGCATGCATGTGTGCGTCCTCCTCTTCCGCGGAGGAGCCGGGACCCTTTGACCGATCGAGGCGGGCTGTTGACCCCGAGACCCCCGCGCCGTGCCCCGTTCACGGCGGCCCGGGACCCTCGCGCGCATTGACTCGGCTCGAAAGGTGCTGCAGAACGCTGGCATCCGGGGCTCCAGTCCAGTTGTGGCACGATGCTGCAATGTTTCTGTGGTGTCGGATCTCACGGGACATTCCCGTCGGTGTTCCACCCTCCGGCCCTCGGGCTGCGTTCCGGCAGCTGCGCCTTGCCGAGAGCGTTCCAGGGGTACCCGGATCGTCCCGAATCGCAGCGCAAGGTCCAGGAGGAGGAGGAGGAGGCGGAGGAGGAGGAGGAGGAGGAGGAGGAGGAGGAGGAGGAGGGGGAGGAGGAGGAGGAGGAGGAGGAGAGAATGTTAGCCCGAAATCCAAGCGGCTTCTCGCTGGGGTTGGGGCCGAGGCTCAGAGCTCCGCGTGCCGAATGAGGGGCATTTTTTGGGGGGGGCACGCCCTCTTGGCTACGGCTGGGCCCGCCTCGGGCTTCTGCCCTGCGCGCACCTCGCGGCAGGTGCACGGGCAGGATCGGTCAGCATTGAATCGGGACTCTAACACTCCCACCACTGCATTAAAACTGTGCTTGGAACAAACAACGAAACATGTTCTCAACATGATTATCCGTTTTATAACATGTTCAACAGCTTCGTTAGACATCTGGAAATTATTTGGCAACACGCTTCACTCCCACAAAGATCGGGATATCGGATCGGATTGCATTGTGCGACGGCTCGGGCCGCAGCCGCACGGAGAGCCGGAATCGGATCGGCAGGGCCTGGATACGCAGCAACGCCATGAACAAACATAGGCCCGCGACGGGTGGAAGTCGTCGGTGTATCAGAACCGAATCATACCATCGAGCCAGCTGGAAACCACATCGAATCGGACCGATCGGATCGAAACGGATCCTTTGAGCGGGGACCGACCGTCCCGGCAGTCCTATAGTCCTACCACGAACTGTTGATAGAACCAAGGGGTGTTCTAGGAACAAAAACGATGTTCTTAGAACATAGGCCCGATGTGTCAACACAAGGCAGTCCCAGCCAGAAATGTTCTAAGAACATTTCGCGCAGATCACAACAGCTTCTTAGAGCATTCGGTGGTGGGCCTTTAGGCGAGACAGGACGCTTCGCCACCGAAATGAATCCTGGAGGGGTGAGAAAGAAGATCGACGCATCCAGGAGGAGGAGGAGAAGGAGAAGGAGAAGGAGGAGGAGGCGGAGGGAGGAGGCGGAGGGGAACGAGGAGGGTCGAAATAATTGCCAACAAATAATCGAAATATCGTTCCCAGGCTATCTTCATTATATGTTTGCATGTTCCTCCTGTAGAGGGACAGGCCCGACTCAAGGCGACTTGCTGCGTGCGGTCGGGTCGTACACGTCCTCCGCTGCTGCCCCCCAGCACGCGCCCGCTGCTTCTGCGGAGGAACAAGAAGCGGATACACAGAATTTCTCGGACCTCTGCGCGGATTTCTTGAACCCGCGCCGGGACACCCCTGCCTGGCGCGCGCAGTGCGCCAAGGGTGGCGCTGGAGGCGCCGCTATGGGGGACCACAGCGCGGATCCAAGAAATCCTCGCGGAGCTGTCGATGTCGATTTTTGCTCTTCGACTTCTGACGACTGCTACCTGCCTTAGGTCGGGCATGTCCTCCTGCAGGCGACTATTGGAAGAAACATGGAACACAGTCAACATAATCAGAAATAGTCGAACACCGCCCCCAGACTTTTTCTTGATCAATCTCGACTATCTTCTGTCGAGGGACGTGACCGACTTAATACTGGCCCGACTTGCAGACCGGGCCCGCGGCCCTCCAGCGGGCCAGTGCTGTTGTGCCGACTCTCTCCGAGCATCCCTGCCCCCCCCCGGCGCCGGCCGCGCCTCTGGCGGGTCGTTGCTGGAGTCCCACACCCGCTGCGAGATCATGTCCCACATGTTCCGCCACAGGCCGAGTTCCTGCTACAGTAGGAGCTCGACCACAAGAAACCTTCCACAAGAAAACCAACCCTGAGACACCAGGACGTCCATTGTTTTTGGTGTGGGAACGTCTTTCCACAGCAAAACCATCGAACCCAAGAAACCCAGGGCGCCCTGGAAGCAAACAAGGTGTTTCTTGACATGGGCTTCCACTGTAGCGATCCGCGGGCCCCTGGAACTCCCGACATCCCCTCCCGAGGCATGGCTTTCACCCCCAACTAGATCTTGGATGGTCCGAGGACGCGAGACGGACCTCCCGAAATCGAGATCAGGAAAAGAGCGCCGGGCAATTCCGGTCGATATGTTGCTATGCAAGATCAACCGACGTCGAATCGGGAATTCGGATCGAATCGCAGTGTGCGTGGACTTGGCTGCATCGGCACAGCATCGGAATCGGATCGGATCGTTTGCGCCAAGACGCACAATAACGCCATGATAACATTGGTCAACATCGGATCGTCGGAATATCATAATCGATTGGGATCGGGCCGGCCCAAAATCAATGTTGAGTCGGATCGATCGATCGGATCGAAATTCACCCTGCCATGTTGCGCCGCAGCCCAGGCTCCGGGAAGGACTGCATGATGACGTGCCATTGGCTGCGGACGCAGTCGTTGAAGCGCTTCGCCTCGACTACCGCTGCGCGGTTGAGCCAGCACAAGAACTGGGCTCGGTACCGCTTCGGCGCACAGTCGTACGCGGTCCTGCGGGAGCGGCCAATGCAAGCAGGAGGGGGGGATCCAAACCTCTGGACGGTTGAACGCTCAACTTCAAAAACCTCCATCGCCAACTTCTCTCCCTTAAGATCCGAAATCGCGGAAAAATCCGCCGACCCCTTGGGGATCATAGGCTTGTGAGATTCTTCCCCCTCCCCAAACCCCTCCCCCGGGAGCCTGGTCCGGTCGATTTGGAGGGGGGAGGGGTGCCCGGCCGGCCGGTCCGGGCTTCCCCGGCGCGGGCCGGGGGGGGGTCATCCGTTCCAGAAAGTCTGCTGGGGGGCCCAAAACGAGGCAAGAGGCTCCCAAGAAGCTCTGAAGACGGTCCAAGAGGGCCCCGAGTCGCCGAAAAATCGTTCGAAGACGGTGAAGATTTCCTTCAGACGGCCCAAGATGCCGCCAAGACGCCCGAAGAGGCTTCCAAGAGGCCTCCCAAGAGGGCCCCAAGAGGCCAAAATCATTGCTTTTCATTGTTTTTTTCTAAGTTTTTGGCCTTCTCGCTTTTCTCGGCTTCCGACGCTCCAGGACGGCGCAAGAGTCCCCAGGACGACCCAAGAGGCCCCCAAGTGAGCCCCAAGACGGCCCAAGAGGGCCTCAAGACGGCCCAAGAGGGCCCGAAGAGGCCCTCTAAGAAAGGCTCCAGACGGGGACCACGAACCTAAAATTCTAGCTTTCCGCCGCAAAAGGCACCCAGGAGGCCCCAAGGGGCCCCCAAGAGGCCCCAAGAGGCGCCCAAGAGGCCCCCTAGAAGTCCAAAAGATGCCCCAAGAGGCCCCAAAACAGCTACCCAGAAGCATCCAAACTCCCTCCCGCAGGCCCCCGAGAGGATTCGCACGACGGCGCCAGTCCGTCGCCGCCCTTGTCTTCCGCGTCGTATTCTCCTGCTCTTTTTCATTCTCTTGTTCGCCCCCTCTTCCCTCTTTCCCCTTCAGCTCTCGAAGAAAGTCCCAAAAACGCCACCGAAAGAGTCTACGAGACGACCTAAGAGAGTCCGAATACAGCCCGCCCGCCCCCGAAAAGGCCCCCAAGGGGTCGGCGGTGTGGCGTAAGCCTAAGAATCGAGACATCGTGACACAAACTGCCGTCGCTCGGACGTCCATTTCCCGTGCATGTTTCGGTTTCGTGCGTGTCCTCGCCCAGAAAAAATGCACATGTCCGAGAGATGCCAGGTCGAGCTGGATCGATCCGTGGGGGCCCCAGGGCCCGAAACAAGGCATCGTCGCCCGCTGCGGGGGAAATTCCACGCCAGGATCTCAGGGGCCAGCATCTGCCTCCAGGGGGCCTCCTCCTCCTCCTCCTCCTCCCTCCTCCTCCTCCTCCTCCTCCTCCTCCTCCTCCTCCTCCTCCTCGTCCTCCTCCTCGTCCTCCTCCTCGCCCTCCTCCTCGTCCTCCTCCTCCTCCTCCTACACCTCCTCCTCCTCCTCCTCCTCCTCCTCCTCCTCCTCCTCTTCCTCCTCCTCCTCCTCCTCCTCCTCCTCCTCCTCCTCCTCCTCCAGACCTCTGCTCAATGCGACTGTTTGCAGCAGTACGTCCTGTAGGGGGGACTCCACCTGCTTGAGACAGGCGCCAGAAACAGCCAAAATCTACTCCAATGTTGGGGCGGGGGGAGGTCGGGCATGTCCTCCTACAGGCGGATTTTTGGACGAAAAGGAAATATTCAAAACATGCACCCAAATAGTAAACAAATAACATACAAATCGTCCCCAGACGATTTTGTTTTACTATTTCTGAATATTCCTCCTGCCGACGGACACGCCCGATTGAAGGTTGGGGGGAGGGGGGATGCGAGAGCCCGCGCCGATCGGCAAAGCAGTGAGTACGAAGGCGATCACAAGAGGCAGGCCGAGGACGACGTTCCTGGCCTCGTGGGGAAGGGATGAACACTGCCACTCGTCGAAGAGGGGGGATGGATATCCCCCTCCTCCTCCTCCTCCTCCTGGTATCTCCCCGAGGGGCCGGGAGAGCCCCAGGGCACATGCCGCCGGAGGTCGTTGGAAGAGAAGGGGCGAGGGGGAGGTCGAGGCTCGGGCGCGCCCAGGGGCGGGGGGGAGGCATGGGGCGCGCAGAGACACACTAGGGGGCGATCCTGGACAGAGTGGCGGTGACTGCGAGGTACTTGTGTGCGCCGCCCCTCCAATGTCGGCCATCATCGAACTTCCGAATCGTTCCTGGTCAGACCACTTCTGCCCTGGCCCCGACAGTGGAGGGGCGTCTACCGACATTGAAGGGCGAGCCGACATCGTCGGGGCGTGGCCGCCATTTTTGAGGTTAAGTTTGGCAAATGTAATAGGACAGCAGGGGCCCGTCCACAAGAAACCTTCCACATGAAACCCAACCCTTAGACCCCAGGACGTCCATTGGTTTCTTGGTCTGGGAACATTACGCTTTCCATGGCAAAATCGTCGAAACCCAAGAAACCCAGGACACCCTGGAGGCAAGCATGGTGTTTCTTGGCATGGGTCTCCACTGTACTGCATGTCCTCCTTGGAGGCGCGCGTCCGACCTGAACATACAATGAAGACGTGTATTAAGGACGGGTGGTGAGGACGCAAAGACCCTTGGAGGCCGAAGTTGGGAACTTTTTGGGCGGCGGGCAACCCAAACCCCAGTGGAAACGGCTCAGGACGGGCCGCAGGCGCAAGGACACAAGGGTACCCGAGGAAAGGCGCGCGTCCATACTATGCGCGTCGACTGTGCCACTCTTGTAATGTATATCGTTTCCCGGGCGGTGTGGCCTGCAAGCGCCGGCCACGACGCATACACTACATGGTTTCTCGGTGCGCGTGTCGCACCTGGGGGTGGCGACGCACACGTACAGGGCAGTCTTTAATACATGGGACTGTTTGAAATAAAGGATTTTTAATACATGATCAATGTATGAATAAATTTATGCATGAACTGATCGTTGCTTTAAATACTAAATCCCTGCATTTTTAATACATGATCCGCACGCGGAGCATGTACTAAAAACGGCACTGTAGTATGTTGGGGCGACGCCGAGGCCAGGACGAGGTGGGGGGGCGCATCGTGGCCCGCAACGCGTGCGCGGGGTTGGCCAAAAAACACACGCCGACACACCGTCAGGCTGCCGAGGTAAAGAACGCTACGTACCGTCGGACCTGGGCCAGAAGAACATCCGTCAAACTCGGGGGCGGCAAAGAGGGGGGTGTCCAAGAGGTGGGGGTGCAAATCATGACCGGCGGCATGTGCGCGGCCCAGCGGGGGGGGCAGGGACGTAAGGAAATAAGAAGAGGCGCCATGAAATCTGGGGAAATATCATGGCCCCCGCCATAATATCCCCCCCCCCCCCTAGTCATCACCCCCCTCTTTTCCGTCCCCGACAAACACATCCAAGGGCACCCTCCGCCGGAGAAACAACACACATATCATCCCAGGGTACCCTCTGCAAAATCACAAACAAACATCCAACAAACACGAAGAACATTGGGGTACCCTCCCCGAGCCGACCTCGATCTTACATCTCGGTCCGACTGTAGGAACGAACCTCCTCTTTGGCTCCAAACACGCCTGCGTGGACGAGGAGTGCTAGAGAAAGAGCCACGGAAGGACCTGGGAACATCGAGCCTCTTCTGAACTCAAACTGTTCATTATTTCAACGTCTTGGCTGTATGTTGAAAGAAGAGGGGGGCATGAAACTTGGGAGATTCCATGGCTCAGGCCATGATGCCCACCATAGCTCTCAGTTAGTCCTGATCCACCCTCGTGGACGCCTCACTAAACGTGGAGGGGGTACTTAACATCAGGCATCCGAAATCGTGTTTGTTTTTGTTCACAACGCGATTCCCCCTAGGTCTGGACCCCTTCCAGGGGATCAGCTTTTGATCCCTGGCCGTTTCTTGACGACCCCTGGGCCCGGCGAGTGTTCCTCGAGGCCGAACACTAGCAACAACCTCCCGTCGCATCTGTTTCGCGATGCGAGGATGTCAGGCACGGTCATAGAGGAACGAGAAACTGCAGACATATACTTTCTCGTATGTCCGCGCGGATTTCTTGGATCGGTGCTGGGCCCCCTGGCGGCGGTCTCCTGGCGCGCTTCGCGCCCATCGAGGGCAAGGCGCGAGCAGCGTGCAGAATGCGGCTTCATTCCAGCGCACATATGGAAGGTATGATTCGTTTTTTGTTCAAGGAGCTGCTCGTCTTTAAGGGACATGTATACACATGTAGGTGAAGGGGAGGTAACGCGACCACAAAACGTCAAACGGCTCGGCCTCAAACGCTGTGCGATTCAAGAGGTCGCCAAGCAAACCGGGGTCTCACCGCGAGACGACCTGTGATGAATAAACTCACGTCTGCGGGTCCTCTGAAACTGGTGGCTCGTCGTGGCCCCACTACCACTGCACCCGCACTCCCCCCCCTCGTGGCCGTGAAACATTGCTCAGGGTATTCTGCCACACGGGCGTCAATTGTTCCTCATTCCTCCTCCCTGGTCGCCTTCTCTCGCCTCTGCCTCCCCCTCCCGTTCCCTCGGTACGTCCCTGGCCTTCCTCTGCGCCAGCACCTCCTCGCGCCCCCGCATGTGAACTGGGATCGGGGGGAAGGGTGGTGGTGGTGGTAAGCCACTGCAGGAAGGAATCGAGTCCGTCCCGAGCGGAACAACAAAACGCACCACGACCACGACCATGCCGACGAAGTGCGCTGACGATCCGCACGGAAACGCGGCTCAAGGATCGGGGGGCACAGGCGGAGCAGAGATCCGCACCGTGCCCCCTGGCGCGCCGAGGCGTGAAGGCGGGGAGAGAGCCCCCCAACACGACGCGGAAGAGCGTGTCACATGGCACACGGCTCTCCCACGCCTCGGGCCACGAGAAAGGTCGCATGCTGCGGCCTCCTGTGCGCCCCCCGAGCACCCGCCCCCCAGCTGGCTGGGCTGTTGCGGCGGCGGGACTTGCCGCGGGCAGCTGGATATGGGGGGGAGGCTGGATAATGCTGGAATGGGCCGTGACGAAACGAAGGGGACAACCAGGACGCATCCCGAGCGGCTCCGAGCGGGCGCGATCGATCGCCGTATCGGAACAGCACGTCTTTCATAGTCGCGCGCGCAGAACAGCAAAGTGCTCCTCTGCCTCCAACAGTCTCTTCCCCTCTTCTTCTCCGAAATCGCCTCGCGCCTCTCCCCGCGAGGAGCATCCGGGAGGCCTCGCGCGACAATTCGAGACCAGCTTACGTTGGATTCACGGCGGACGCTGCAACACTTTAGCGAACGTGCTCCATCGATTTCGGTGTGGAGCCTGGCGCATGGGCTCCTGGGTTTTTTGCAGTGCTGTGAGCATGTGGCGGACACGTGCAGACGATCCCGGTGGGCGGCCGAGTTCCAGGGTCACCTGTTCCCGTGTCCTGGTGACGAGCTCCCGCCCATTCCAGTGGGCGGCCAGGTTCCCGCACCCCCTCGGTGTGCTAGAGAGAAGGGGGAGCGTAGTAGGAATGCCACGGATGCCAGACGAAATAGGAAGCGTGAACCTGTCTCAGAGAGAGAGAGAGAAGGAAGGAGACTTTATAGAGCATACAATGCTAGTTGTGATGACATATCGGCTGCTGTGGAGAGTAGGTGGCACGGATGATATCGCAAAACCTATGCAGTACAGACCCAAGGCTGGAGAGGCGATAGTAGAGATCGGAGCTAGACATCAAATGTAAGGGGTGAGGGTGGAGAGTGGGTATCATATGATAAATAATTGAACGCACATACAACCACACACAAACTCATATCGTTATCCTTTGCCCTCGCTGGCCACCAGCGCGCTGTCTTTTGTACATTCGCACAACTGCCTTGGCCTTTCTCAGGTGTTATGTCTTTCTTTGTTGTTCCCCTGATCTGGGCGTAGGGCGGGAGATAGAGTGATTGAGGAGAAATCCTCCTCACCTCTTGAATTGCCCCCCCCCACATGCCCAATATGGGTCCGGAGCGTAGTGCTGCCGAACAGGTCCACGAGCTGGGTCTTCTCAAACCAGTCGGACAACAACGACTGCGGCTGACTACCGTGGTACATGCCCGACCTGCATTCATAAACGAACACCAGGACTCATGCGACGTGCCTTCGCCACGGGTGACGACCATGCGCAATTATGCTACATTGATAACAGCTTAATGTTCGCACGGCTGTGACAGGCACGACAACATATGTCAATTCAAGTAGACGTCTGGGGAGGCAATGCAACAACAAGGCCATCAGAGCAAGCCAGGGCACACGGATTCAAACATGAACACGTATACAAAACTAATCAACGCACGTGGGGGAACCGTGCAATCAACCACAAGTTAAGAACGCAACGTAACGATGCAATACCGTTGGACCCTGAGTGCTGTCCGTTGGACAAGACTGGTCAAGGATAGGCCGAACAAGCACGGATGCAAGGGCTGCTTCGATGAACCACTGCACTCGCACTATTGCGGATGCAACTCGTGGGAGGTCTTCGTGGGAACGATTCAGGGCTATGACGCCATACCAAGGACCCATGTAAGCTGGATCGCGCCAGCTTGGAGTCCCGAAACGGTGCGGTGACAGACTGTGCGGTGACCTCGAAATCCCCCCAGACCTCACCGCACGGTCCGTCACCGCGGGGTCTTGGGACCCCGGAGGCTCCTGTCGCCCGAGACACCCTCGGAGAACGACCCGAGTCCTAAAACCGTGCTGTGACCTCGAATCCCCACCGACTCACCGCACGGTGTGGTCACCACCCCGTTTTGGGGCCCCCGAGCCAGATTGAACCCAACAAAATACACAGCCAGAATAACCAAAGATTTTACAATATTAAACGGTATTAGGTCGGAGTAGGGCGGTCTTTGGCAACCTGTACGTCAACGCCGATGCTGAATTTAACCTCCCCAGGGTTGCAACAGAGTCGACAAACCACTGCACCCGCACTCTGGTGGTCGACTAAGTGCGGTAGGCTCTTTGCCTTGGTTTCTGACGCCGCGTGATCCGATCAAACTTGAGCGACCTTCGGAGGAGAACCGTATTTCGATACCGCTGCTCGTTCTGGACAACCCTCGTCAACACGTCTGGATTCTCCGTGAATCCCACCAGCCCTTTGGGCGTGAGTGGTTTAGAGAGCCCGCTCTGTTCTCAACCCCCCTTCTTCCCCTTCGGGGAGGGGTTTACCCCTCCCCCTCCCCCCTCCCCCTGGGCCTGGAGAGGTCCCTCCGCGGGTCGCCGGGGGGGTCATTTTCGACTCCTGGGAGTGCTAAAAAACGACACCCCTCACGAGGATTCTGGCCCCGACGGGGGGAGGGAGAAAAGTGCTCTCCTCTTCTTTGAAGCCAAAATCATTGATTTTACTACGGTTTTGGCCCCATTTTGGCCTTCTGAGGGGGCAGCGCTCATTACAGCTCTCCTCTTCTTTCAAGGCAAAATCATTGATTTTACGAAGGTTTTGGGCCCATTTTGCCCTTCTGAGGGGGCAGCGCTAATTACAGCTCCCTTCTTCTTTGATCGATTTCCTCCAAGATGGCCCCAAGAAGCGCCCAGGAGGCACCAAGAGGCCCCAAGATGGCCCCCAGAGGCCCCCAGGAGGCTCCCAAGAGGCCTCCAAGAGGCCCCCAAGATGCCCCCAAGAGGCCCCCAAGAGGCCCCAAGAGGCGCCGAAGACGCCCCAAGAGGCCTCCAAGAGGCTCCCCAAAGACATCTACAAGCCCCTGGGGCCGCCAAGAGGCCCCGAAGACGCCCCAAAAGGCCTCCAAGAGGCTCCCAAAACGACTCACACCACGACGACGGCCCCGAACGACTCACACCACGAGGAGCCCGAACGAGTCACACCAGGAGGAGGGGCCCGAACGACTCACACGACGACGAGGGGCCCGAACAACTCACACCACGAGAAGCCCGAACGACTCACACCAGGACGAAGAGCCCGAACGACTCACATCACGAAGAGCCCGAACGATTCACACCAGGAAGAAGGGCCCGAACGACTCACACCAGGACAAGAAACCCCAAACGACTCAAACCACGAGGAGCGCTTTCTCTCCCTCCTCCTCCGCCTCGTCCTTCTCCCGCTCCCACCACAAGGAGGATGTACAAGGAGGCGGGAGGAAGGAGGAACAGGGGAGATATGCGGGGGCAGGCGGAAACACGCCTGAAAAACACGACTGTCGGCATGCTTCGCAAGAGTTGCTGTTTTGAGATGGGCTGGTGGGGATACGCGAAGCGTAAAAAGATTTTCTATCGGACTGCACCCACGGAGAGGTCAAAAGAACATGGCACCGGTACCTTTTTGTCCCCCCCACACCTCGGTCATTTTCGCGCCGTGGGCTGTGTGTCTGCGTCAGAAGGAGACGTAGGACTCGACTTTTGGGGACTCGGATTTGCCCGACGGGGCCGTCCGAGAAATCACAGGCCCTGGTCTGAAATTGATGTGAGCTATGCCGTCAAATTTGCGCCAGGACCGTCAAACAAGCGGCGGCAAACCCCAGCTCTAGCAAACTCGAGTGTTACGTTTCCCCGGCTGTGGATCCGCGGGTGCTCAGTGATGAACGCCCGCGCCAGCGTCGCCGCCACACCGAATCGGCCCACCCTGCAAGGGCAATAGCCCTTGCCCCTCCTCTTCCCCCTATGCGCGCTCCCGCGCGCGCGCTCGAACTGATAGGAAGAGCAAAGGGAGGAGGACCGAGAAGGGTGCAGGAGAAGGGGCGAGAAGGGGCAATGACGATAACGAGGATGAGCAGGATGAAGAGGAAATACAACTGGGTGTCTGTCTGGGCTTCGCGAGGCTGAAACGAATGTAGGAGAGCGCAGCGCGGACCGCGGCAAGCGGAGAGGGAGGGTCGTCTGTCAGTTCATCCTAAACCGCTGTTCGAAGCGTATTTAGCCTAAGCCTCGAGGAGGCACAGAAGGGCCGAAGAGCGACAGGAACCCACACCTCCTCCGATACGAAATTCTCAATGCGCTGGTGCCACCTTTTTGCCGCGGATCCACCTTGAATGGTCCCGGACAGATCCCAGGAACCGAAATCGAGAAATCCCTCCTGGATCCACTGTCTACTGCGCCATCCGGCATGCTCTGTCCACCCTGTCTACTCTGCCGACGCTGTCTACCCTGTCCACTCTATCTACTGTCTACGCTATCTACTTCGCCAAATTTTGTCTACTTTGTCTAGCCTGAGGGGTACCCCCTCTCCTCTCTCTCGCCCCTCTGCCTGGCATATCAACTATGGACAGTCTATCGACTCCGAATGCGTTCGATCATTCGCATACCCTGCCTACTGTTCTACTGTGTGTACTCTGTCTGCCCTGTCTGGATTCTCTCCTCCTCTCTCTATGTATAAATATGTCTCTCTCTATCTCTCTCTCCCACCGTATTCTTTTCGCAGTGTGTCTACCACGTCTGCTATGTCTAATAACTCGGGTTACTCTTTCGGCTCTTCCTACTGTGTCTGTTCAGCCTGCGTTATCTAGATATGCCTGTTCTGTATAGTCTGCAGACAACAAACAGCGTAGAACAAGTCTGCTGAATGCGCAGAGTAGACAGAATACGGAGAGTATGCGGAATCGGCAGGGTGGCCAGGTTATACGCAGGAGACAGCGCTGCAGGTCAGTAATCTAGGGAGAGGGAGAGAGAAAGAGAGAGAGAGAGACAATCTATACATACATATATATATATATATATATACAGAAATCTCGATATACACATGCCGAGAAGGAGAGAGAGAGAGAGAGAGAGAGAGCGAAAGAGAGAGAGAGAGGGCGGTAGAGAGATAGAGAGACGGATAAACAGAGAGAGAGAGAGTGGAACATAGAGAGAGCGAGAGAGAGAGAGAGAGAACAAGAGAGAGAGAGAGAGAGAGAAATCCATATCTATATATATAAAAAGAGAGAGAGAGACAGGAACAGCGAGATGGAGCGTTCCATGTATAGACAAACAGGTAGAGAGAACCGAAAGGGCACGCAGAAAAGACAGGAGACATAGTCGACAACGTAAGGGCAACATGCGAAATATATTAGACAGTCGTAGAGAGGGGACCGGACGGACTATACATGGTAGACAGAGAGGACCGAGTGGGTATATGATTCAGGGTAGACCAAGTAGGTAGAGTAGACGGAGTAGTAGGGAGCATGTAGACAGAGCAGGCAGGGCAGGCGAAGTAGACCGAGCAGACAGAGTAGAGAGCATGTGCAGGGTAGGCAACGTAGACAGAACAGCCAATTGAGTAGGCTGTGTATACGCACAAGGCTATATGGAGTAGGCTGTGAATACGCACTAGACATGAGATATGATAGACACGGTAGGCAACGTGGGCAGAGTGCGCCGAGTAGGCAGAGTAGACATCATAGCCATAGTACACAAAATAGTCAGCTAATACATATATATATATATATCCATTCATCCATCCATCCATCCATCCATACATACATACATAGACACATACATACACATGGATCCGAGGGGCCATCAGAAAGGCTCAAGGGAGGCCCCAGACAGCACAAGAGCGCTCCAAGAGGGACTCCAATTGCGTCAGGACGGCCCAAAAGACCCCCAAGGCACCCCAAAAAGCTTTCCAAGGGGCCTTCAAAACATAACCATCGTCCCATTCCCTTCGTAAAATTTACAATTTTAGCATATTCGCCTCTCGGATTTCATCAGCTTTCAAGACGGTTTCAAAGCCCCCGAGATCGCCTCCAGACGCCCCAAAAGGCCCCCGAGAAAGCTTCAAGACGGCCGAGCCGGGCCCCACGATCGCCCACGAGAGCCCCAAGACAGCCCATAATGGAACCACGAGGCCCCCCAAGGACTCCCAGCACAGACCCAAAAGGGCCGTGGGAGGTCCCCGGAAGTGCCCAAGATGGGTCCAAAGGGGGCTCCAGCGGGCCCAAGCTCCCTGAGACGGCCCAAGAAGGCCCCAGGATGGCCCATGAACGCGCCAAAACGGCCCACGCGGGCCCCGAAAACACTCCCACGATGTTTCCGAATGCCAACATCAAGACCCCGAAGGCACCCCAAAACCAAGGGGCCTTCAAACTACACAAATCGTCCCATTCCCTTCGTAAAACTTACAATTTTAGCATATTCGCCTCTCGGATTTCATCAGCTTTCAAGACGGTTTCAAAGCCCCCGAGATCGCCTCAAGACGCCCCAAAAGGCCCCCGAGAAAGCTTCAAGACGGCCGAGCCGGGCCCCACGATCGCCCACGAGAGCCCCAAGACAGCCCATAATGGAACCAAGAGGCCCCCCAAGGGCTCCCAGCACAGACCCAAAAGGGCCATGGGAGGTCCCCGGAAGTGCCCAAGATGGGTCCAAAGGGGGCTCCAGCGGGCCCAAGCTCCCCAAGACGGCCCAAGAAGGCCCCAGGACGGCCCATGAACGCGCCAAAACGGCTCACGAGGGCCCCGAAAACACCCCCACGATGTTTCCGAATGCCAGCATCAAGACCCCCAAGGCATCCCAAAAAGTTTGTCCAAGGGGGCTTCAAAACACAAAAATCGCCCCATTCCCTTCGTAAAACTTACAAAATTGCATATTCACTTTTCGGATTTCTTCAGCTTTCCAGACGGTTTCAAAGCCCCCGAGATCGCCTCAAGGCGCTCCAAAAGGCCCCCGAGAAAGCTTCAAGACGGCCGAGCCGGGCCCCACGATCGCCCACGAGAGCCCCAAGACAGCCCATAATGGAACCAACAGGCCCCCAAAGGGCTCCCAGCACAGACCCAAAAGGGCTGTGGGAGGTCCCCGGAAGTGCCCAAGATGGGTCCAAAGGGGGCTCCAGCGGGCCCAAGCTCCCTGAGACGGCCCAAGAAGGCCCCAGGACGGCCCATGAACGCGCCAAAACGGCCCACGCGGGCCCCGAAAACACCCCCACGATGTTTCCGAATGCCAACATTCATTGATTCTGCTCTCATGACATTTTACATTGTGACGCAGTCGTTGAGGGTCTCGTGGCATGCAGCGAAGATGCCCGAGGATGCCCCGTACGAGTTGCATATGCATGTTCATACCCTTACACAAATTTGTCTATTTGTACATATGGACGCTGTATACACATACAACAATGTAAGTACATTATATACACCTAGACATGTACACGGAATGCGCATGCACGTGCGCGTGTATACATGCATGCGCGCATGTACGCACGCACGCATTCCGCTTGCGTGCAGAACTCAAAGGACCAAGGTGCATGGCGCGCAGCGCCAATGCAGTCTTGTACATATATAATTATACAGATTGTCGCCCTCCCCCAGCACCCCCAAATCCAACAACACCACACAACGAACCAGAACCAGAACCACAACCAGAACCAACGCCAGAACAACCGAACCCAGAACCAAAACCATAACTAGAATAACCAAAACCAGAACCAGACGCAGAACCTTATCCAATGATCGTTTGCTCCTCCTCCTCCCTCTCCTCCCTCTTTGCGACTTCAGCAAAAAACCAAACATACACACTGTTCCCTTGAACCGGGAGCACCAAACACTTTTTTTTGGGGGGGTGGGTCAGAGGAACAATGAAACACGGTGTATGTTTTTTTTTTGGTTTTGAAAGCCCCAATGCTCGCAGGGGTCTCTCTCCCAGCAAGCACAGGCGCTGTCAAAACCCCAAACCACCCCTACCAAAACCTTCACAGTGCTTCCTTGAACAGAGAGCGCCCAACACGGTGTGTGTGTGTGTGTGTGTGTGTTTGTGTGTTTTTCTTTGGGTCAGAGGAGCAAGGAAGCACTGTCTATGTTTTTTTTTTGGTTTTGACAGCCCCAATGCTCGCAGAGGCCTCTCTCCCAGCAAGAACTGACGCTACCAAAACCAAGAAAAACAAACACACCAACCACACACAGTGTTTCCTTGCCCCTCATACCAAAACAACGCAACAACCAAACATACACAGCGTTTCCTTGCTCCGGGAGCGCCAAACACTGTGTATGTGTGGCTGTTTCCTGTTTGTTTGGTTTTGACAGCGCCAGTGCGTGATAGGAGAGTGGCCTCTGCGAGCATTGGGGCTTTCTAATAACGCAACACACAACACACATACACAGTGTTTCCTTGCTCCTCTGACACAGCAACCAAACAACAACCAACCATACACAGTGTTTGGCGCTCTCGGAGCAAGGACACACTGTGTATGCTTTTTGTTGCTGTTTTTTTTGGGGGGGGGGGGGGTCTGAGGGGCAAGGAAACACTGTGTGTGTTTGTGATTTTTGTTTTTTGGGTTCGCAGAGAGGCCTCTGCGAACATTGGGGCGTGCAACACCAAAAAAACCAAACAAACCAAACGTACACAGTGTGCCCGTGCTCCTCTGACCCAGAAAACTGAAACACCAGCCATACACAGTGTTTGGCGCTCTCGGTTCAAGGGAACATTGTGTATGCTTTTTTTTTTTGCTGGGGGGGGGAACAGCGCCAGTGCTTGCTGGGAGAGAGGCCCCTGCGAGCATTGTGACTTTCAAAACAGAAAAACAAGCATACACAGTGTTTCCTTGCTCCTCTGACCCAACAACCAAACACACCAAACATGCACAATGTTTGGCGCTCTCGGTTCAAGGAAACATTGTATATGTTTGTTTTTTTGCTGTAGTCGCAAAGAGGGAGGAGAGGGAAGAGGAGGAGGAGCAAACGATCATTGGTTACGGTTCTGCGGCTGGTTCTGGTTTTGGTTCTTCTAGTTCTGGTTCTGGTTCTGGTTTCGGCTGTTCTGGCGTTGGTTCTGGTTGTGGTTCTGGTTCGTTCTGTGAATTTGTTAACAAGGAAGAGAATGACGATGTGGAGGATGCCCCCCATGAGGGGGAGGAGGAACCATGAGGATGAAGAGGAGCAGGAGGAAGAAGAGAAGGACGCTGAGAGAGGAACCACCCCTCCTCCCCCTCACTCCGCCATTTGTATACATATGGATATAGATATTCATCCAGGGACGCAGAGGAGATAGGTGCGGTGAGGGAGAAAGGCAGGTAACTGAGTCGTGAGAGACGAGAGAGTATGCAGAACATGCAGAGTAAACCAAGTGTGGAGAGGCTCGATGAGGTAGACGGCGTAGAATGGACACTAGAGAGAAATATCGAGAGCGTAGACTGTGTACACATACTATTCAGAGTAGGTATGGTAGACAGAGTTGGCAGAGCAGACAGGCTGGGAAGAAAAGACAGAGTAGACAGGCTTGACCGAGGATCCACATCAGACAGGCCGAGTAGGCAGGGCCAAATGACAAACGTTTTCACCGCCACCATCAACATTGCCGTCGTCGTCGTCGTCGTCGTCGTCACCGTCTTTGTCAGTATACACTCCTTACCCCATCTAGTGGGAGAGAAGCTTGGCGACATCTCTTGAGCATCCTTTTGGTCGAAGACGCTCAGAAGAATCCCCAAGGGAGTCCTTCGGCACAACCCTGCCGTGCGCCGGCCCAGGGCGGGCCCAGGCCCGCAGGACATTGCCACCGCAGCACCCGCTCGACGGCCGAACGCGAGGGCATTTCGCTGATCGGCCTGGCAGGGTGGGGGTCTTATCAACCTTCGGCGGTGGACAGACCTCCCTCTTGGACGCCCGAAATGGGTACGGAAAGAATGGGCACAATGCCCAACAGCAAATGTTGTCCCGAACCAACAGCGGCCGCTGTTGGGCAGGCGGCCTTCTGTCTCAAATGGACACAGGCCGCGGCGACACCGACAGCGAGCCCTGTTCAAAACGAACAGGAACCGCTGTTGGGCATTGTACCCATTCTTTCCGTACCCATTTCGGGCGTCCAGATCCCTTTAGTAAACCTCCCCTTAGCGAAAACGGCCTGGGACCGAAACCGACGGGCCCGGACCCGACAACATGAGGGCCGCGACGCCCTCTCGCGAACCGAACACGGCCAATTCATCAATCGACGTTTCAGGGTAGGAGGTCTGTCAACCTCCGAAACCTCCGATCTTGGGCCGTCTGGAGGGCCTCTGGGGTCGCCGCCGCCGCCGTCGCCACCGCCGTGGCCACCGTCGCCGCGGGCGGATCGAATGGGCATGCGCAACGGATCGGAATGCATCGTCACAGAACTGAAATCGAATCGGATCGGCTGTGCCAAGACGCACAACAACGCCGTGCAAAAGCGTCGGGTCGCATCGGGCCCTTGGAAACTCGGCCTCGAACCGGGCCGTGCCCGGCCGGGATCGACATCGAACCGGACCGATCGGGTCGCAGTGGACTCTGCTCAGAGGTCGCCGCCACGGTGTGCGGAGCGGTGTCGGGCTGGCAGGGCGTTGGCGGCGCGCACAAGGGGGTGGAGGGAGGGGGGAGGGCTTCTCAGAGGGAGGCCGCTTCTTGGAAGGCACCGGCCCTGCATCTGCAGATGCAAGGCCCGCGCCTTCTGAGAAGCAGGGGAGCTTCGCGGGGCCGGCGGGGCGCCTCGAGAACGCGCCCAGCGCCCGGCTCTGCGCCGCGGGGGGCACCTCGCCCTCTCCGGCGAGGCCGCAGATGGCGCTCAGCAGCCGGCAGGCCTCGGCGAAGAGCGCCTGCGGCGAGGCGCGCGCGGAGCTTCCCGGCCACGCCCACGCCGCCCGCGACAGGAGGTGCACGCGCCCTCCCGTTAAGTCGGGCCTGTCCCCCTACAGGGGGATTGTCGACGAAAAATTAAAAATACCCCAACAATAATAACAAACATAATCCAAACATAATCTGGGGACTATTTTTGAGTATTTTTGACCTTTTTGGAGTATTTTTTAATATCTTTTACTTTTCGTCAAAAATCTCCCTGTAGGGGGACAGGCCCGACAAAACCCTCCATGCATTCGGGGGCGCGCCCAGTGGGGAAGAGATCAGGATGAAGGAGAACGGAGGACGGAGGGGGATGGAGGAGGACAGAGGAGGATGGAGGAGTCATGGAGCCATCACAAGGCAACTCTGGCACGTGGGAAAGAGCTGGGCGCCAGGCCGCGGTCCGGTCACGTGAAAGAGCACCTGTCCCGAAGGCCGACTAGGGGATGTGGAGACACCTCGTCGCTCCCAGACCCCCGACGTCATGCTTTGTTCATGATTCCCCAGGACGGGTTTTTTCACCCTGAATCATTTTTTGAAGGTCCCGAGGCCCAGTAGGGCCCCCAGAGGCCGACAGTAGCGAAAAACCTCCCGTCGTGATTTTTGTCAGGGATCGAGGGGGTCTGCGTCATGGAGGACGCAAGAGGACGGGATCGAAGTTCTCGGGCCCTCCCGGCCACATCCTCTGGAAGGGAAGCGCCGGACCTGGCTGGCCGCCGACGGCCAAGGACGGCCGCCGAGGGTCGCCGATGGCCACCGAGGGCGACGCGCCCAGGGGCGGGACTCCTCAAAAGGCGGCGGAGCATCTCAGCAGCCCTCCGGCCTTCTGCGAAGCCGTCTACAGTCAACCCGTATCAGAAGAATGCACGGTAAGGATGCAAAGAGCCTTGGAGGGCCGTGTTGACACGTTGCGAGCGGGACTCGGCCAACGAAAGCGGCCAAGGCTGGACAGAGGAGGCAAGAATGCAAAGGTACCCTGGTACCCTTGGGAAGGCTGCCCATCCTTCTCATGCGGGTGGACTGTATGCCCTCAGAGAAACCTCAGGAAGCTTCTCGGAAGGCCCGAGGCCTCCGAGAATCTCTGCCGCCTTCGAGGCCCAGGCCGTGGCAGAAGAAGAACGGCAAAGGAGGGACGGAAGGGTCCGACGGTCCCCTGGGTGGAGGGGTCCCCGGCCCACCGGGGCCAGGTTTTGCGTATGGGGAGGAGGGGGAGGAGGATGAAGGGGAGGAGGAGGAGGGGGAGGAGGAGAGGGAGGGGGAGGAGGAGGAGGAGGAGGAGGAGGAGGAGGAGGAGGAGCTTCCCCCCCTGGGCTCGCCGCCGAAGCATGACCCGGGGTCCTCCTGGGCGACACTCGTGCCCAGATCCACGGCCTCGCGGCCCGGGCGCCCCATGGGGCCGCGAATCCTCGCGGCTGCGGGGCGCCTGCTCCGCGGCTGCTACCCCGCGCCGAACGTCTCCGTGCGCCCGCGCGCCCCCGCGGGCTCGCGGCCCGGAATCCAGAGGAGGCCTCCCAGGTGGGGTCCGAGCAGACGGGGTCGAAGGATCACGCCGCACATCTGATGCAGCACCGATGCATCGCCGATGCATCGGCACCGTCGGCGATGCGTCGACGGCGTGCAGAAGATCGAGCTCCACATCGAGCCGCATCGCCGATGCATCGGCGACGCGGCGCGATCCTCCGACCCCGTCTGCTCGGACCCCATCTGGGAGGCCTGGAGACCCAGAATTCAGACCCCGAGGGCGCAGAGATGGTTACGTTCGCCGCTCGTGGGACCCTGACATCCTCTCGCTGTGAAGGAATCGCGGCGGAGGGTCTCTGCCCATTTCTGGCCTCTGGGGGGCCCTCCCTCTCCGGGCCCAAGACCGTCAAAATAAGACTCAGGACGAAGAGCTGGTCCCGGGGAGTGGGTCGAGACCTCGGGGGGTCAGCGCTGTGAGCACATCGCGAAGTCGGGGGTCTGGGTGCACCCATCCTGGACGCAAGATGGGCCTGGCCAAGATCGCTGCGCGTGCACGCTGGTTGTCGCCCGATCTTCGGACTCCTGCCCCTCCCATCTAGAGCCCGCTGCCGCCGCAGAACCACTTCGGCCGCCGACTTCCCGCACACGGGAAGCACCCGCCCCTTCCGAAGGCCTCTCTAGAGGATAACAACAACTGCATATACACAAATGATACCAGAGAAAAACCCCAATCAGAATTTGGGGGGGGGGCTATGGGGCTTTAGGGCTTTAGGGCTATGGGGCTATAGGGCTATAGGGCGATGTGGCCATAGGGATATAGGGCTAGAAGCCTTTAGGGCTATGGGGCTATAGGGCTACAGGGCTATAGGGCTAAGGGTTGTAAGGCTATTCGGGCTATAGGGCTATAGGGCTATATACGGCTATAGGGCTTTAGGACCATAGGGCTATAGGGCTATAGGGCTATAGGGCTATAGGGCTATGGGGCTATGGGGCTATGGGGCTATTGGGCTATTGGGCTATTGGGCTATAGGGCTATCGGAGGTGAGGGGGTGAGATCGAAGTGGAACGGCGAGCCCCCCACCGGGAAAGCGGTTTCGGTTTCGCGTTCGTGCGTGCCGTGCGTGCGAGGCGAAGCTGCGTGGGCGGGCGAGAGAAAGTCTTCTGTTGCTGAGGCGCGGCCGGACCAAATGTTTCTCTTCCAGGGCGCGGGGCCCCGCGGTGTCCCGCCAGTGTCCCGCGGTGTCCTCCTGTGGCTGAGGCGCGGCTGGACCAAATGTTTCTCATCCGGGGCGCGGGGCCCCGCGGTGTCCCGCCGGTGTCCCGCGGTGTCCCGCGGTGTCCCGCGGTGTCCCGCGGTGTCCCGCCGGTGTCCCGCCGGTGTCCCGCGGTGTCCCGCGAGGATGATGATGATGACGATGCTGATACTGATGCTGATGATAATGATGATGATGAGATGTTGATCATGGTTTCCCGATGAAGATGATGATGTTGATGATGGTGTCGATGATGATGATGATGATAATGATGATGATGATAGTGTCCCGATGATGAGGATGATGATGCTCATGATGATTATGTTGATGATGATGACGATGATGACGATGATGGTGTCCCGATGATGATGAGATGATGATGATGATGATTCCGATGATGTTGGTGATGATGATGTTGATGGAAATGGTGTCCCGGCGATAATGATGTTGATGATGATTCTGGTCTCCCGATGATGATGCTGATGATGATGGTGATGATGATGATGGTGATGCTGATGGTGTCCCGATGATGATAATAATGATAATGACGATGTTGATGATGATGTTGCTCATGATGATGATGGTGCCCCAATGATGATGATGATGTTGTTGATGATGATATTATCGATGATGATGATTCGATGATCATGATGATGATTGTGTCCCGAGGATGATGACGATGTTGATGATAATGTTGATGATGAGAACGATGGTGATCATGATGGTGTCCCGATTACGATGATGATTATGATGATGCTGATGATGATGATGACGATGACTATGCCCCAATGATGATGATGATGATGATATGATGATGGTGATGATGATGATGTTGTCCCGATGATGATGCTGACGTTGATGATGATGTTTATGATGATGCTGATGACGACGGTGCCCTCATGATGACGACGATGTTGGTGATTCTATTGATGTTGATGATGCTGATGATGATGATGCTGCTGATGATGATGATGACGTTGATTGTGAGAGCGATTGTGATATCGATAGTGAGATTAATATTGAGACCGAATGTGAGATCGATTGTGTGATCGATTGTGAGATCGATTGTGAGATCAAGTGTCAGATCGATCGAATGAGATAGATCGAGTGGCATCGATTGTGAGATCGATCGAGTGAGATCGATCGAGCGAGACCGATAGTGAGATCGATACTGAGATCGATATTGAGACCGATCGAGTGAGACGTTGGTTCCCCCCCCCGAACCTCCTTATCACCCGAAGGGTGGTCGTATAGGTACGGCTATAGGGCTATAGGGTTATAGTGCTGTAGGGATATATGGCGATTGGGCTATTGGGCTATAGGGATATAGGGCTATAGGGCTAGGCACCCCCGGGCACTTCTGGGCACCCCGGGCACCCGGGCACCCCTGGGCACCCGGGCACCCCCGGGCACCCGGCCCCGGCCACCGAAATCGGCCACACACCTGGGCACCTGGGCACCCCCGGGAACCCCCGGGCACCCGGGCACCCGGCCCCGGCCACCGAAATCGGCCGCCCACCTCACCTCAGCTTTATATCCGCTAGGACCCCTACAGAGGCAAGCTCTGATCGGGGAACTTTCGGAGCTCCGCGCGGATTTTTTGGATCGGCGCGAGTCCCCCTTCCCTGGCACGCGGACCGCGCCAGGGACGGCGCCAAAGGCGCCGCCAGGGGTTCCAGCGCCGATCCAAATGGAGCTCCAAACGTTTATGTTGTTCTTTCTGTTTGGTTCTTCCGACTCTCCAGAGACACGCGGGAGGAAGGGAGGTGCTCAGACATCTTCCGTCACGGAGGAGCCGACGGCGGGACAACCGTTCTGCAAGTCCGCCGACCCCTTGGGGGGGGGCAAAGGTCTCATCAGGCCCCACGAGGCCCCGAAGGGCTCCAAGCAGCCCCCACGACGGCCCAAGAGGCCCCCGAGACGCACAAAGGTCGGCCCAAGACGCCCAGGATGGTCCTAAGACGGCCTCAGAAGAGCCTCCTGGACCGCCCAGCAAGCGAGGCCCAAGAGGCCAAAATCGTCGAATTCCCCTGAGAAGACGTCCATTTTTATCATACACGGCTTTTCGGCCTTCACGGCGTTGAAGACGGCCTCAGAGTCCCCCAAGACCGCCCCGAAACGGCCCAAGAGGCGCTCGAAACGGCCCAAGATGGTGCCAAGACGGCTCAAGGGGATCCCAAGACGGCCCAAGAGTGCCCCGAGCCGGCCCAAAGAGGGGCCCAAGAGGCGCTTAACAGGGCCCATGAGGCCCCCAAGAGGCTCCC